TTGATTTGAGTGTGACAAATCCGTGTTTAAATCATTCACATAAACCTGTGTCAGAGGAAGGACTTTTGGGGAATTTGTGGCAGCATCTTGGACACATTTTAATCCGATTCTGCTGCCATGCTTTTAAGTATGGTCAGAGCAAACCAAAAGATAGGGTTTGGTGGAGGATGGCATCTTGTTTGTAGTGTTGATTGCAGGGTGGCTCACTGTGTTGGTGTGTTGTGATTCACTCTTCCTCTTGCTGGAACAAAGGCTGATTTACTCACACTAGGGTGCTTCCCTGTGTGATCGCAACACACCAGATTTGGCTGCTTTCCTGGATTCAACCCAGTCTCTTTTTAAGTTTATTTCTTTGCAGATAAACATGCCACTTGGATAAGTGATAACCACACGAAAATCTAACTGGCCTGTTTTACACAAGGCACATATTTGGAATAATCTGTAACGGGCTTTATTGGACGTCTAGACCCTCAAATTCAAGGGTTAGGGTTAGTCTGACAGTAATTTTCTTTCAAATGTATTGTTCAAGGTGGTGACTTTTATAAAAGTGGTGCTTAGATGGTTGTGGCAGTGGTACTTTAGATGGGACAAATTTAGAAACTTCTGTTTTTACTGTCAGCATGCTAAAACTCCAAATTTTGAGTATTGTAATCAACACTGAACAGAAAAAAGGAAAAAAATCTAGCTGGCCTCATATTGATTTTCCTTTTTACATTTTTTTTTTAAAAACCTGTACTTAAAGCTACACAAATGCACACTTGATTTTGTTTTTGACATTTTCTTTTTGGTTTTATGTTTTTAAATAGATTTTTTTCCATCTGTGCAAGACAGGAAAAGTCTGCAAAAGTAATATCAGCCAACACAAGCTGTATTCTTTTATTTTATGCCCTTAAAATGACACCTCTCATCAAATTAGCTTCTCTGTGCAATCCCTTTTTGATTCATTTGTGGCCTGAGGCGGTGCTTTACTCATTTCTGTTTAATTTTCACCTCCCCTTTTGCGTTCTTCATATTCATTTCTTTTCAGTGCATGCGATAGTTAGGGGTGCGGGGTATTAAATTGCCCGAAAATTGTATATTTAGGGAAACCGACTGTGAGAATGAAAATGGACTGACTTCTTTATCCCTGATGTGTCATTTTCCATCTCTTTTCACAGTTTTTTTTCTCCTCCCTAGAGGCCGGCCACTCATGGGTACCATACATGTTTTTCTGCACTCTTATTTCCAGACTTTAATGGAACATGTGACACATGGGAGGAGGAAGGCGTGTCTTTAATTTATCTGGCAGATGCAGACCTCTGCAACATCTCAGCCCACATCACTACCCTCACCTCTCTATCCAAAGAGCCCTGAAGATGTCGGCTCTCACAGAAACATTAGCACCCCAATTCCTCCCACAAATTCTTTCCTTTTCTTTCGAACCCAAATGATAGGATTGTCTGAAGCCCTTTGGCACACATGCTGATGAGATTTTGGCAGTTTTGCAGCAGTTCACCTTCCAGGCTTCCCCACTTCCCATAAACCCGTTGGCCGCTGAGGGACGACATGCTGTAGGTTTCAATCTGCTCTTCATCCTGCAGGGAATAACCCTCTGTTAACACACCGGAGAAGGCCAAGCACAGAGAGATCCTGGGATTTACTCCCCATGAGCAGGCCCACAGCTTTCTGTAGAATTTGAAAATCCATGCTTTTTTTAATTAAGTATTTTGTTTAACCAATATTATTGTGGCATTCTTGGTTACATTTAACACATTTTATCATGTCACTATCATGACTGTCCAAAATTTATATGGAATTCTTGTTTGTCGTTACTGTACAAGTTTGTGTAGATTTCACATAGAGGATGGAAGTACCGTCTGATTTTGTTTATAATGATGGTGATGATGATGATATTTTCAGATGTGCATGGCATGTTTCTCCTTCAGCCAAATAGCAGCAGACATCTGCGGGAAGCCAGAGGAAGGGATGAGAAAGAGTGTAGGAAAGGGAGAGCGAGAGAGAGAGAGATGACAGAGGCAAGAGTAGGAGGATGAATGCTGAGGCAATGACAAGGCAGTGTGACTCAGAGTCAGCTAGAGCTGTTTCATGCTCATCTGGCTTTACGCATAAACACAGTGGGTCTCAATCCATTACAGTCTATACGGTAGGGCTGCACAATTAATCGAATTTCTAATCGCGATTACAATTATGGATGCCACAATTATGTAATCGTTCAAAGCGGCAATTAATCGTTCAAAGTCCACTTATGTTATTCTGCGTGCTTAAGAGGCGTGTTTTTCTTTCTACATGTTATCTTAAGGGTTTTTCCCATTATTTAGTTTTTAGTTTTAGTATAACATTATAATACCATTCATATTTTTACTTTTTTATAATTTAAAGAAGAAACCAATCCGATGTATAGTTGACATTTGAGGCTTAATACTATAGAAAAGCACTAAAAGTTTTTCAGTTAGAGTGTTTTCAGCTTGTTTATTTTCGTTTAAAAATATGGCATGCAGTTGCATAAAACAATGGTATAAACATCATTCAATGTAAATTGTGATAATCGTAATTAATAATCACAATTACAATTTCAAGGGAATAATCGACAATTATGATTTTGTCATAATCGTGCAGCCCTACTATACGGCCATATTTATGCGTACAATTTTTGTCAGTGTTTTCACACAGATGTTTTAATTAATTAATCATTTGGAATTTTATTTATTCTAACTTAAAGCTACAATTTAGAAAGAAAAATCCTGTTGGCCAAAGAAACATGTAATGCATTAATAGAGTACTGGGCAGAGTTTTTTTGGGGTCCGTAAGTTTTTTTTTAATTATTATTATTATTTATTTATTTTGGATAGAAACTACTTTTATTTAGTATGTGCACCTTAAATTTATTAAAAGCATAGTAAGTAATGACTTACATGAAATTGCTATTTCAAATAAATGCTTCTTTTAAACCATTAATCTATTCATCAAAGGCTGCGTTTACACTTGGCATTAACATGCGATCACCGTGAACTGATCAAGCAGATCGGATCATCAGTCAATCAGGACATGGCGCGTTTACACTTGGCAACATCAGCTGACTTCTCGATCTGGATAACCGATCGGATCTGTATTTCCCGTGCAATATTTAAATAAGCCTGCGGTGCAAAGTCGACCTGAAGTGGTGGGTTTTCTTTTGAAAACTATTTTCAGTCGCGGGACATTTTACAAATCAAAAAAAATGTAGGAGTCTCTCTAGCGCTCTGTTCTTCCGACAGATCGGGAGAGAGGGGGCGGCGTTTTGCGTGATGTCGACCTGCGAATGCAGACACGATAGCTTGATTGTGTTTAAACATTACACTGAGATCCGATCACAATGCGTCCTCGACTACCTCTGGACCAGGACACGCTGATCGAATAACATTCCAATCAGAAGCGCGTTTACACTTGTCTTTTTAATGTGTATGGGGACAACATCCGGATACAGGTTGCATGTTAATGCCAAGTGTAAACGCAGCCAAAGAATCTTGAAAAAGTGCATGACATATTAAGCAGCTGTTTTCAACCCTGATAATAATAAGAAATGTTTCTAGAGCTGTAAATCAGCATATTAGAATAATTTCTGAAGGATCATGTGACACTGAGAACTGGAGTAATGGCTGCTGAAATTCAGCTTTGCCATCTTAGAAATAAATTACATTTTTAAATATATTCAAATAGAAAACAGGTATTTTAAATTGTAATAATATTTCACAGTATTACTGTTTTTACTGTGTTTTTGATCAAATAAATGCAGCTTTGGTGTGCATAAAAGACTTCTTTCAAAAACATCCCAAACCCCAAACTTTTGGATGGTAGTGCATATATTATTTATTATAATATTTATTTTTAGAAATGTAATAGTTCAGTGACTTTTAAATAAGTTTTATTTCATAGTAAGCAAAATGATCGATGTTCATGCAGGTCAATACATGTTAGTAAACAAGTTGTGCAATTAGCAAACTGCATGAAAGTCTGCATGAAAGTTCTCTGGTTTTAGAACTGCAGGAGTTTTCCCACCTGCCAACAGGAAACTGAAAAACAAGGGAGGGATTCTTCAGCAATGACTTTGTATTGACAGTTTCACTGTGTCTGTCAGTTGTTTAAAGCTGGCAGTGCATTTTTGCTGTCACCTTTTTGAAACATTTGAAACATTTTCATCATTTACTCATCCTCAAGTTCTTCCAAACCTGCACAAATTTCTTTCTTGTGCTGAACACAAAAGAAGACACTTTAAAGAATGTGGGTAACCAAACAATTGATGGTCCCCATTGACTTGCATAGTATGTTCATACTAGTGAAATTAAAGGGGACCAGCAACCATTTTGGTTACCCACATTCTTCAAAAATGTAATATTTGTGTTGTGCAGAAGAAAGAAATTCACACTGGTTTGCAACAACTTACCCTTTAATGCCCTGCATATTCCTACCAGAGGCTAGCAGATGTGCTTGTCTTTTTTGAGGGCAAAACAGTTAGTTTTAACTGAGAGCTTGTGTTGAATAAATATGAGATCCTCTGGTGCGGCTGCCAGAAGCTTAATGGCCAAACCGGTCCAGGAAGAGGGAACTTGGGCTGCTCTTCTACAGGAATGAGAGCGTTTGTCTTCCCTTTATATCTCTTCCTCTGGTGAGGGAAGCTCTTTAAGCCATAAAGTTATTTGTGATCTTAATGCATACAGAAAGTTCTGGCCTGTCTGCATTAATACCAAAACTTAAAACCCACTCCAGACATAATCTCATTGCCCTTTAAGAGCTCTAGGCTAATGTTAGACTGCCACTTAAACTGAATCAGTTGAACACTGCGAATTTGAAACAGGATGACATTAAGACATGGGGCATGAACTCTGTTTACCAATCAGTAGTTTTATTTCTGTGCAGTTCATTCTAGTAAGCATGGTCCAAAAGATGTTTTGCGTTCCATAAATTGTTGCTGTTCTTCCACTTGGTTTTGTCAACCATATTCCTTTTTTTCTTACTTTTCACAGATGGTCCGTTTACAGGCACTCCGCCCACCTATGGTTATGACGCGGATCGAGCGGAGGAGCAGCGCCGACACCATGACATTCTGCCCTACATCGACGACTCCCCCTCCTCCTCCCCTCACCTCAGCTCCAAGAGCCGCAGCAGTCGAGACACTCTCTCCTCCGGCTCGATTGAGTCCTCCAAGTCTGTAAGTCACCTCCTTGCCAGCCAGACAGTGATGAATCTGACATTTTGATTTTTTTGGCCTTTGAATAATTACGTTTATTTTACAAATACAAAATAATTGATTAAACAAATATTTGACTGCAGAATGCCACAAATGACGAGTCAGAATCGTCATATTTTGTTGGGCATAGAGAGATGAATGCTTTGCTGGTGGTGTGCGAAGGTAAAGAGTACGCATTAGAGATTTCTTTATGCATGCATGGATCCATGATAGGAATCCACCAAGTATATGCCATCTGTGAAGCAGTTCATTATGAATAATTGTACCAGTAAACCCACATATATTTATAGCCTCCATGGTAATGGCACACAACAAAACCAGTGAGCTGTGAAATTTGGCAGATTTCAAAGCTTGCAGATTCTGAAGTGCTGAGTCTGCATAGTACAATTCTAATTGAACATTTAGTGCTTATCGCAACTTAGTAAATATTATATAGCTCGGCACTGTGCAGAAGAATCTCACATCGTTCATTGCATGCAGTCATGCGTGATCTAAAGAAATTCTTTCTATTTTCTATTGTTGTCAACTATGGTTTAAAATTATCATGACTTTCATTTCATTTCAGAGCCTTCATCATGCATAGTGGCCATCAAATTAAATTACTGATTGTAAAACAGAGCTTTCTTGCTTCATTGACACAGCCATTGGCTGTCAGATTGATTGATGTCCCTCCCTGCCAATACCAGGCCCAGAGGCAAGCAGTTTATTTGGGCCCTTATGACCTCTGTGTTTAGCTCCCACATGGATTTTAATTAGGGCTGCACGATAAATCGCATGCGATTGTCATTCGCATCTCGTCAGTAAAGCCGGTTCTGTGATTAGTAGTAAATCTCCATCACGTGCTTTCAGATGTAGTGGCATTTAATACACAGAGCCGTAGTTTGCTGACAAGCTACGCAATATCGCGTTCATGATCGAATGCGATTCATCTGCGATTATGAACGAGATATTGCATAGCTTGTCAGCAAACTACGGCTCTGTGTATTAAATGCCGCTCCATCTGAAAGCACGTGATGGAGATTTACTACTAATCACAGAACCAGCTTTACTGACTAGATGCGCATGACAATCACATGCGATTTATCGTGCAGCCCTAATTTTAATCAATACAGAGTAGATACTCACCTGCACTCACTCATGCACCCTTCCCCAGTAACACCTACACGCTTTACTTGTTTACCCAACATACACACAACCAGGGATTTGAAATATGGATGGATTCAAAGAGGGATTTGCTATGAAAACGTCTTGAATTGAGCTGCAAATAAACCTGCAATTGACACTACAGAGGGATGGTCACCCATTTTTCAGACACATTCTCCTTAAACACAGAACCAGATTTAATTTCAATGAGTGCAAATTGCATGTTTAAGAATAGTCTTGTCATGCTGTCACAAAGAGCTGTTTTAGATTGCCACTCTATTAAAATTAAGCCAAAAAAATCTAATGTGCTTTATTGAAATTCCAGTGTGCTGTATTGAAATTCCAAAAGATTGAATTTGGACTTCTCTATAAGCAAATTATTGTGTTCAAGAAATCTCTTTAACTTTATATTGAAAGTAGTGCTGTCAAACGATTAATCGCGATTAATCACATCCAAAATAAATAATATGCAGGGCTCCAGACTGCGACCATTTTTTTTGCCTGTGCGACTAAATTTTGTGTGCAGTCGCACTGGTGCGACCACCGCGTTGGTCAACTCATAAGCGCTTCAATTTCTGTTGCATATGAGAAACATCAAAGGGCAAACGCGAATTCGAAAGTGAAAGCATCCGAAGCCCGGCTTAACACAGCAAAAGAGAAACTCCCATTCACAAAATTCAAATCACAAATAATACTACTGATGATAAAGAATGGGTTGAATGTTAACAACTTTTGTTGAATAATTGAATAATCCCATGTTGTAGCGCAAAAAAATAAAAATAAAGTAAAAATATTGCGACCAAATCATGTGCTCGTGCGACCAGCTGAGAAAGTTAGTTGCAAAAGAGCGACCAGTGGGAAGAATGAGTCTGGAGCCCTGATATGCATTATACAGAGGCAAGAGGAAAATAAAAAATACCATCGAAAGACAGTAAGTTCCCCTCAGACATACATTCATATAAACTCATACCCATAACTGAATCGCGATTTGTTTAGCATCTCAACCGATTTGAATCGTCACATATTTAAATAGATTTTCAACCGGCTCGCGGTTAATCGTTACATCCCTACAAACAACTCGTTTATTATATACCCTATGTTTTATATGTCATCTAATTACTTGTGGCTAAATATTTTTAACAATTTATCTATATAATCCTAGTTGTTATTGACACACTGTACTTTGTATGTTCTTTAAACATGTTTGCTTCTTTCTCATCGGAGCCGTTTGTAATTTTTGCCTGTTCTGTGTATGATGAGAAATACTTTCTCGTCCTTGCGCTTTCAGTAAGCGAGGGTTATTGTTTGATCATCTGAGATGAGCTCAACTCATTCTCATGCGCTGGAACGCTGACATGCTTTGATTAATAAATATGTGGCTGAATAAAAGATGGTGGTCTAGAGATACAGGGGTGCCCCCTGGGGTGAGACGTCTAGCACCCAAGAGTTCATGAATTAAACCTTGATTTCCACCTTCCCCCTGCTGAAGCTTTCAGTGGCGGGATTTACTCTGTCACCAGGTGGGGTTTTACATCTTATATCAGTTGGTGAGATTAGAAGAAATGTATGCAGTGAAAGCAATTTAACATCACCTCAGCTCATCTTAAAAACTCAATTCAAGCCAGTATAGTCTACAATGATAACACAGTCATGAAGCAGATGGATGTTTTATCCTCAAATCTGGACTAGAAATTCTCATGAGACTATCACAAATATCTGTGGTTTCCACTACCTGTGCTGTGGCCATGGAAACCAACATTTCAGGCCCACTCAGCCGTCATTAGCACTCAGTAACCCTACACACGACATAAAATAGATATGCCTTGCTTTTGGATGGATTCTAGGTCTGTAGTATCTCTAATGCTTTACTCAGGGCTTTGTGAATAGTGTAGACTACATAAAGGCCTTATTCAGTTCAAAGGTGTTATGAATTTCCCATGATTCTCATGTAGCCAAGACAGTTATTATAAGACCATAAAGCAGCTCCATTGAACCAGTGCCAAATCACTTTTTTATAGCTCTTTTCAGCATTGCCAGTATATAATTTAATGTCATGTGATTTAAGAGTGTGTTGTTCAGAAGCATGTGAGCTCTTTCTGTGTTCATGCAGGCGGAGTTGGACCTGGAGAAGGGATTGGAGATGAGGAAAAGGGTGTTGTCTGGAATCCTGGCCAGTGAAGAGACCTACCTCAGCCATCTGGAGGCGCTGTTACTGGTAAAAGTGCCTCAAGTTTGATTTTGCTAACGGTGCGTGATTAAATTTGCTCAAGGAGTCTTATAAGGGAGATGTGTGGGCCAGCTGAGTGATTATGCCACTGAGCTTAAAATGAGATGATCTTATCCATCAACAGCAACAGAAAAGTCATACATTTAATGGCATATAAATATGTATTTGTGATGATGTACATTAGCAGGGCAAATTTAAGCCAAATGCAGACTCTAACTGAAACTTAGTATATGGAGTCCAAGGAAGGTCATAGATATATTTGCATTTACACTACTGTTTGGGGTCATTAAGATATTTTTTTTTAACAAACTGCTACTCTTTTTAAGGACACGTTAAATTAATCAAAAGTGAGTTTAAGGACTTTTATAATGCTACAAAAGATTTCTATGTCGTACAAATGCTCTTCTTTTTAACTTTCTGTTCATTAAAGATTCCTGAAAAAGGTGTTTTTATTATGGTTTCTCAACATTTTTAATAATTTTTACAATATATTTTTATAAAATTTTTTGACCACCAAATCAGCATATTAGAATGATTTCTAATGAATCATGTGACACTGAAGACTGGAATAATGGCTGCTAAAAATTCATCTTTACCTTCACAGGAATAAATTACATTTTAAAATAATCTACATTTTAAAGCTGGAAAACTGTTATTTTAAATGTTAAAAATAGTTTACAATATTACTGTTTTTGTTATATTTTTGATGGAATAAATACAGTCTTGAAGAGCATCAGGGACTTCTTTCAAAAAAAAAATCTTACCAACCCAACCTCAATCTTTTGAACAATGGTGTATAGTTGATTATATTGTCACTAAAATGTTCAAATGTCTGTTCCTGCTCCTTTGTCAGCCCATGAAGCCCCTGAAAGCAGCAGCCACCACCTCCCAGCCTGTCCTGACAGTTCAACAGATCGAAACCATCTTCTTTAAAGTGCCTGAGCTCTACGAGATCCACAAAGAATTCTATGATAGCCTTTTACCCAGAGTGCAGCAGTGGAGTCACCACCAACGTGTGGGAGACCTTTTCCAAAAACAAGTGAGTAAAATTCTCTAAACAGACCCCTTCAGGTTAAACACAACATAAAATTGAAATAGACCCTATTTACTTATTGTCTGCAAATTGTAATAACTTGCTCAGGGTCTGACATCATTTTTAAACTCCTTCTACCAAATCCCCAACTCCATTTTTAGTATGCACCACCCGCTTTATCACCATAATCTAGATGGATAATGTCCTGTCCTCCTTTTTGTACATAAAATATGTCCTGTTTCACTCAAAAAGCAAACAGCATTTAATGTTGACTTTTAAAAAAATGTATGTGTAATCAAAATCTGCTTTTTAATTTAATTGTGAATTGAGAATTAGAGTAAAGAATTTAATTCTGATCATGGTGGAATGCTTCCGCTGTCTAGTCTCTTTCCACTTTTGTGCCCCATGAGGCTGAATAAGAATTAACATTTATCTCTAAATCAAGGAATCCTAAATGAATCATTTATGCCCCTAGAGCGACACTGCACAGGCACACAGTGTCTGGACTGCAGGAGCCTGTGTAACATTGAAAATCACATCTCAATTCTGCCTTTTTTCACCCAGCCACTTGGGCAGATACTACAGTGTGTGCTTTGTGTCTCGAGGAGAGGCTATTAATAGTGCCATTCGAAGATTGTGTTCTCTATCTCTGCACCCCCCCACCCCCACCCCCCGTTCTTTTCCATTAAGTTCTTTCTTCACGTGACTCTGCTGACTGTTAGTGGGGCAGATAAATCCCTCCTAGGTCTGTTTGGCCAGCACACTCAGGAGTCATATTCCACATTCATTTATCTTCAGTGGAGTCACCACCAACGTGTGGGAGACCTTTTCCAAAAACAAGTGAGTAAAATTCTCTAAACAGACCCCTTCAGGTTAAACACAACATAAAATTGAAATAGACCCTATTTACTTATTGTCTGCAAATTGTAATAACTTGCTCAGGGTCTGACATCATTTTTAAACTCCTTCTACCAAATCCCCAACTCCATTTTTAGTATGCACCACCCGCTTTATCACCATAATCTAGATGGATAATGTCCTGTCCTCCTTTTTGTACATAAAATATGTCCTGTTTCACTCAAAAAGCAAACAGCATTTAATGTTGACTTTTAAAAAAATGTATGTGTAATCAAAATCTGCTTTTTAATTTAATTGTGAATTGAGAATTAGAGTAAAGAATTTAATTCTGATCATGGTGGAATGCTTCCGCTGTCTAGTCTCTTTCCACTTTTGTGCCCCATGAGGCTGAATAAGAATTAACATTTATCTCTAAATCAAGGAATCCTAAATGAATCATTTATGCCCCTAGAGCGACACTGCACAGGCACACAGTGTCTGGACTGCAGGAGCCTGTGTAACATTGAAAATCACATCTCAATTCTGCCTTTTTTCACCCAGCCACTTGGGCAGATACTACAGTGTGTGCTTTGTGTCTCGAGGAGAGGCTATTAATAGTGCCATTCGAAGATTGTGTTCTCTATCTCTGCACCCCCCCACCCCCACCCCCCGTTCTTTTCCATTAAGTTCTTTCTTCACGTGACTCTGCTGACTGTTAGTGGGGCAGATAAATCCCTCCTAGGTCTGTTTGGCCAGCACACTCAGGAGTCATATTCCACATTCATTTATCTTTCCATTTTCCCCTTCATTGTTCCCTACTTTCACCATCCCACGCTTAATAAACGGAAGCTACAGTCACCAAGTTGTGTTTTCTCCCAGAAGGTGCTGGGCTTTCCTCAGACAGTCAGTTAGTCAGTCAGGCAGTCATTTTGACCAGAGGCTATTTATCACTGATCCCCTCACCCTCTCCCGCGTCTGTTAACAAGAATCCGGAGGCAGGAGGCGAGGCAGTGCTCGAGGAGGCAGCCTCGCTAAAAAGACACTTGCTCGCAGCAGGAGAGACAAGAAGATGAATGAACGAGTGAGATATAGTCAAAGTCGTGATAGAAATGCCTCCTGCGGTTTGTGTTGTTTCTTCCTTCCCGACAGCTCATGTTGAGTAAGAAAATGCGATGCAAATCATGAGCAAAGTCATTACGGGAGTCTGCATGTCAAAGGTGATGTTCGATGTCCCGCTACGCTGAAAGAAAGATGCTAATATTCCCGCTCACTTGCACTAAATGTTTTACGCCTGTCGCTGACACATGTATGTAAATTCTTCGGAGACTGTTCTCCTAACAGCAAGAAATTCTGACATTCCCATCTTTTCTGTGACCTACTTAAACATCGTTAAATGCACAGAGCAGAGGAACGTGCTTTCATCTTCAGCTGGGCCTGGCATATGGTCATGTCATCATGAGGAAGTGTGTCGAGGCTGAGAGGATGTGAACACTGCTGTGCTGAAGTCTCTGTCAAGCTGTCTCAACCAGCTGACGTATCAACTTTTTAGTTTGTCTGTCGTGTTTAGATGCATCTCGACCTTCTCAAAACAGCCTTAGCATACAACTTCTCTGTATTGACATAATGAATTAATGGGCTGGGTATGTGTTATCTGAATGAAGAATATCATCCTGTCAACACAGCATTTGAGAGAGTTTGTAACCGTAACCAGTGTACATAAAGAACGTTCTGTTGATCAGTACTTCCCGCCCTTTCTTTTTTTTAAATGTACAAAAAAAAATCCTACACTTTTTTTTAACCGCATTTCAAATATCACAGTTATTAGCCGGGTTTCCATTACAGATTTGCGTAAAACTTTTGCAATATTTTATAAATGTAGATAAAAAACCTATTCTAAAACCTATCTGTCTGTCTGTCTGTCCGTCCGTCTGTCCGTCCGTCCATTCAGGCTCAAAAAATGTCCTGTTCCACCTTCAGACCTCAATCCTACTGTACTATAAACATGAATATCCTTAAAAATTGGTGAGCCAAATGGGATCAGTAAAGTACAAATAAACTTTACCAAATCAATCCTGTGGTTGGTGGAAATGTTATATGCATTTTTTTAATTGGTAGGACCAAATGATCTGTTCCCGCTGTCAAATAGGCCATTCCAGACCTACGGTTTTGTTAATAAATGAAGATCCTCTTTAATGCCCCTTATGCCAGAGTCCATTATCTCTGAAGCATATTTTGATGGACTGTGATATCTTGAATTCCTCTGGGACCCATTACCTTGTTGATTCTTATAATGAGGTTAGACCAGATGTAGTTTTAGATTTAAAAAAAAAATCAAAAATAAACTTTAAAAACCTTTAATAAGTTTTCAAATTTTTCATTTGTTTCTCCAAGTTTCTTTTTCAGTGGTTTTTTGTCTGAATGATTCATATACAGTACACAACATTATGAACAATTTGTATCCTTCAAATGAAATAATGGGCCCCATTTATCAATCTAACATAGAAACGAGTGCAGATCTATTAACCTTGTAACTGCAAACAATTACATTAATTTATATGTATATTAAATACCGGTAAATACAAGGAAACCTTTACAAACAAAACATTATTTAGCCTATTTAGTTCCTTTCACGCTACAACAAATCCTTTACATTTAACGGTATTACAGAACAAGAATGACAAAAGAAGCAGCTATAAAATTATATATTAAACTATAATATAAAAAAATCACGCTATAGGCTAGTGGCATTTATTATAAACAGCACACAAACGTCAAGCAAAACTGAAACGGCATTGGGCTCACGAGCCTCTCTCATTTGACAAGAATTCAAATGTTTCCATTTTTGCCATATTTGCAACACGTCTAAACAAGGCTTGTTTGGGCGCTGCACGCTGAGTTTACAGCGGACCTTTTAAAATAAACAGTGTAACTTTTATGTTTGATGGACTACATTTTAGTTTGATGATGAATGGCTGAAATGACGCCAAGCAACTAGAACTAATGTTGTGTGTGTGCGCGAGGTGCCTGCGTGATCAGATGGGTTTAATAAAATAAAGATATAAAGAAAAGGGAAAAAATGCATTGAGTGTCACGAAAACGAGCGTAGCCTATACTTGTCGCACAGTTTCTTTTTCCTTTTGTTAAGAAGAGAAATATATTTTGTTTAGTCCTATTTATTTTATTCCTTTTATAGACATGATTTCGGTTTTTCTCCGTTCACCGAAGCACTGCAGGTGCGTGATGCCACGATGTGTGAATCCTCATGGTCTGTTGTTTATGCTGCTTTTCGCACATATAAAGCTAAACCCCTGAAAAAAAATTACATTCTAATCTTACTGGTTAACGATGGACTAATGAGCTTCGGTTGTCAGTCAGGAAAATAATCTAAATGAACAAAATTCTGTCATTATACAATTCTCCACCAGATTTACTATGCTGCACACAAGTTCAGGTAACTCAGAAACGTGCGTACACGAGTTGAGACCTGACGTGAGGTTTGATTGTAGCCACCGCTCACATCCATATTGATAAATTCCAAGTTTTGCGTAGAAACGACTGTACGCCCACTTTTCTGTCATACGTTAATTTCGTAAATGAGGCCCATAGTGTCTACTCTGACTACGGTCTCTTAGTTTAGATTGAACATTTGATTGAAGTTGCTTCAGTCTGGTTACATTTCTAAATTTTCAGTTTCTTAAGCTTAACACATCCTTTCACAGCGCTCAGCCACGGTTTGACTCGACCCAGCATGTGTTGTCGTTGCTTTATTACGGTCATCATCCCTCTCCACGCTGTAATGAGGTTGTCGCAGAGTAAATTCCCGTCAGTCACGCTGCAGATAGATTCTGGCCCGGAGCGGCTGTTTCTGCTCAGCATGGAGAGGATTGCACACACTGCGAAAATGACTTCACTTATGGTCTCTTTGGCCTGTGCAAAATAAAAGATTTATCCCCGGATGTACCACCAAACATGGACGGAGACCAGTGGGGTCACTTGGGGTTGTGGGGTGAAACTGACGTATAACTACAAGTATGGAATGACATGAAGATGAATAAATCGCCACTTTGGAATTATAAGGTTCTATCTGCATTTTGAGCGGTTTTGAGATATTGAGCTTCAAAGTTTTTGCATTTCATATACTTTATAGATAGAACCTTTTTTTTTTTTTTTTTTTTTTTGAGCTGACAGGAAGTGAAATACCCGTAGTGCAACGGCATTGTATGTCGGCACACTGCCCACAAGGCTATCGGCGCTGACTGAACCTTTTTGTTTTCTAAATAAAACGTCTGAAAAAATGTACACAACTAAGAATAAGTCACAGGATAAGAATATGTGAATAACTCAATTTTGACAAAAATGTCAGATAGAACCTTAAAATTCTAAGGCCCTGTTTACACTAGTGCGTTTTCATTTTAAAACAGCATTTTAAAATGAAAACGATCCTCGTCTACACTGGTGTTTTCACTGCGTTTCAGAAACGTTCTCTGTCCATACTACACAACCAAAAACGCATGTCACATGACCATTAATGCATGTACAACCATAGATATGTATAGGTAGAGTCTATTATTTAGATGGCGGACGCTTCTACGTGCTTTGAGCGGTCGAATGGGGATTCTACCTATACATATCTATGGGTACAACAATGAGCATGATGTTATTGTTTACACGGTCATCAAGGATACGCAGAGAAAATATGGGCAGCCACGCCATCGTTTTCAAAAGTCTCAGTTTTGGTCCGTTTACACTGAAACACAACCCCTGAGTTTTCAAACTAAAACGGGGTCTGCAGCGTTTTCAAAAGTCTGTTTTCGAGGGTTGAAAACGCCGGAGTAGTGTAAATGACAGGCGTAACCGTAGAATAAGTTATGCGTTTTAAAACGAAAACACACTAGTGTAAACGTTGCCTAAGGAGACAAAATGTTGACAGAATTGTCATTTTTGGGTGAACTATCGTTTTAATGGTACAGTAACAAAAACATAGGGTCATAAGGGCAAAAGCTTTAGGTAATCTAATCTAAAGCTAATAAAGTGAAAATGTAAAGCTAAATAACTACAGATTATGACTGTTTGAAGAAATCAAAAACATTCTACAGTATGGTTAAATATGTACTCTTAAACTGTCAAATCCACATGGTCAGTCCAGGCAGACAAATGTTTTAGCTAGCTCAGCTCCAGCTTATTTATTATCATGCATATACACCCACACAACCCCTTTATCATCTAATGTATATTTGTGTTTTTGAGAGATTGATTGAGCTGTTTCCAGAGAGAGGTTTCCAGCTCTAACAGGATGGCTATTGAGTTTGGATGGGCTAAATCAGATTTTCAAATGTGCTTTTTACAAGCGCCATGCGCATGCATTAATTGCTCACTGTAGAGTTGGCCTCTGCTGCCATGGCAACCGCTGTAGGCTCTATAGCCACGCACAGCAACGGCCCAGCTGCTCCTGCGGCGATGACACTGTCCCGTCTGTCCGCCCCATGTCACCACGGCGAGTCCATGCGTGCATCTCACTCATTACTGATAGTGTCGCTGTTAGCCAGAAGCGGGAACTGTCATCTTAGATATGCTCATAAATCTCAACAGTTTGCATCCTACTGTTTTAAAGTCCACCATACATGGGCAACAAAGACAAAAAGATGCATGAGTGGATATGACTCACTTTGTTTTCTCTTCCTGCAGGCTAGCCAGCTTGGAGTGTACAGAGCCTTTGTTGATAATTACGAACTCGCCGTGGAGACCGCAGAGAAGTGCTGTCAAGCAAACACACAGTTCGCAGAGATCTCTGAGGTAATGCCTACTGGAGTGCTCAAGCTCTTGTTATTCTAATACGGGAACAGATACCTCTACCCAAAATCCCCAGCTTAGAAGGAATAGAATTAGTACCCTAAGAAATCTGTTTTATTTTTTCCCAAATTCCGTTAAATTTTTTTCCAAATTCCATTTTTCCCGTTTTAATTTTTCTAGACTCTGTTTTAATGGTTATATTAAATTTTATTAAGCAAAAAGCATGTCTAATTAATTGAAATCATAAAACTTGCACAATTTAACAGCAATTTAATAAAAGTTTAACAAAAATTTTATTTTTAAGGCCCTAAGAAATTGTTTTTTTGTAGTTTTTTTCCCTCAAATTTAGTTTTATTTTGATCAATTTCTGTTTTCCATTAATTTTCCGGATTCCATTTTAATAGTTTCATTACATTTTAATAATCAAAAGCATCTCTAAATAATTGATTTTATAAAAAACTAATTTATTTATTTATTCAGAAATTCTGTCTTGTGTATTTACATTTTTCTGGTAAATAAATTCTGGTAAATAATTTTACTGGTAAATATTCCTTAAAATAATGTTTTAATAATTTTATCATTACATTAAGTAGCCTAATATATTCCTGTTACAGTTTCTTTAAGTGAAACCGAACTTTTAATTTTGACGGGTTGTTGTGAAGACCTTTAAGTTTCTCTGTTTATATGATATGACCATAGTTTTTCTCAAAAGAAACAGCAAAATGCTCATGAAATGACTCTCAGAGCAATTTGAGAGATTATGTTCATGTGTTCATGTACTCATATATTGAGGCGGTAGAGACTGAAAACACGCACGCTTCAGTATGTGTGTAGTAAACGAAACTGCGCATCTGTGCCATTCATTCATACAGAGACGTGCAGAATATGCAGGATTCATAAATAGTATTTTGCTGATTAATATTCAGACACTAGTCTGTGTCGCGTTTTGTTTTAAGTGAACTGACCTACTCTTGATCTATTCATCCAAAATTTGGTAAATTCCGTGACATTCTGCATTATACAGTAAATTCCATTTTTATGACTGGATTCCACAATTCTGTCCTCGTTTTCCGCATCGCAGAAATCATAGGGCCCTATCCACCTTATTTTTCAACGTGGAAGTAAGCCTTTTTCCGTTTTCATTAACCGCTGTAGGGAAATAACAAGAAGAATAACAAAGCGCAGTAAATGGTAAAACGGTTTGCACTACAAACCAATGTGTTCATAATTAGGCAGGATAATACATTAAAATAATATGGTAAGGCACACCAGTTTGAATATCAAGCCGCAAAACAAGGTGTATTGTACAGCTAAAAATAGCTGGAAGCGGGTGACTACGGAAGCCAGACACATTAAATTTACAAATGGCCACGCCCGCTCTTATGGGAAAAATAAGGTGGATAGAATCCTGTAACATAGTTGATACTGAAATGTAATGATTCTTGAGACAAAGCCAAAAAATTTTTTTTTGGTATGGACAAGTATTTTTATCATCCCTAATTCAGGCTTATTGTATTGGTTTAAAGTTAGAAAACAAGAAAGTGGAATTGTAGCTTCAACAACTTCCAATCAGATCTACTGTAATGCAACCTGCCATCAAAGAACAAGTAATTTCCAGCTTTTATGCGGGGCTTTACCTGCCGCACTCCTCCATGGGGTCACTCAGAATGACTGATTAACCAGAGAGACCAGGATAGCAAATCTAAAAGTGGCGCTCAATGCTCTTCAGAGTTCAGCGGGAGATTTTATGCCTTGCTAAATGTTTTGAAGAGAGGGTGTCTGGAATAAAATCTACATGATGATGCTCACCTCGTCCCACTTTATTCCCCCTACCAGCCGTTGTCATGCCAACTACTACTTCCCTTTACACTTTGGATATTCCTCCCTTCTAGCACGACCAAAAGCGAACATTAGGATAATTGTTTGTTCGCATTGGCGGGGGTGGACAATTTCTAGTGGGTTCTAGAGCGTATTGCCACCAGTGTAAAGCTTGCAATAGGAAACATTTACTTAGTGTCTACTGTATGTAGATGAAATGTGACAAGCTAATTTATTCATTTAGTCTCTCCAGAAAGGGATTCTTTCAATATACAGAGAATAGAGGAGATAGAAGTTGAATATACACCACAACAGAATAAGTACACAGTCAAGTATTTAACAGCAAGTTTTGTTTATTTTTACATGTAATGTTTGGATTATCATGTGCTATTTACAAGTCTGATAAGCTCTACAATCTACATAGAAATCCATCTATCATAACCAGCTATCATTTGTCAGGAGAATATCTGCTGTAATATGGCGAAAATAGTTGTTCTGTAATAGTAATCTGATGTTCTTTATGAGATCACAGTTACCAGCCCTGCATGATGGTGTGCACTTCACAGGTTTATTGATCCTGAGTTTGTCTCTAATATCTCTGCAGAGTCTCAAGGTCAGGAGCACCAAGGAGTGCAAGGACCTGACAGCCAAATACTCACTGGAAGGTAAGAAACAACAGGATGGCATTTATTGTTTTCATATTATATGGTCATTATATTATCTGTAGTATTTTCATTGAGCTTAAGTGTTGCACATTTTGCTCTCAGCATGTCATGTCGTTCCTTCTTTTAAATTCAGTTGCATAAAACCCATTGAGTGGGTGGATTAGATAAGGTTTCAAACATCGGCATTTGAGACTGTGGTATGAAAGTGGCTCTTGTGAATAATCGCCCACTGTGTGTGTTCTCTTCTGTCTTGTCTTTGCCAGCTCTGCTCTATAAACCGGTGGACAGAGTGACCCGGAGCACGCTTGTTTTACATGTGAGTCAAGTTTATCATATTTTCTTTATGCGTTAGATAAATGTTTAAGTTTATCACTTTTACTATAGCTCATATTTAGGACACGTTCCAATCGCAAGATAGTGCCTTGGGAAGTTTACTTTCCTCTGCCATCTTAAGTGAGATTCCAAGTTGCAAGGAGTGTATTTAGTCCAAAGGGCACTGTAAACAACATAGGGAGCAAATGTACATCGACATATAACTTCATAGGAAGTGGCTCTTTTATTTAGAAGGTGGGATGAAGGTGCCCTGGACGTGCCGTATTGGGTGTTGCAGTTTCTCCCTTGGTTGCATTGCTATATATGTACAAACCGTCTTGGTACATGCTGTGTGACAGCCGGTTTCTGTGTGTGTGCTTCGGATGTGTGCGCTCAGAAAACCGTTTATCAGAATTTTAAACTAATATGATATAAAACGCATGATTTTAGCGCAATAGACATGATCATCAAAACCAAACAGATGTTTTTTAGCAGAGTATCTGATGAACCAACTGTTCCCTGTTCTGGAAAAGGGGGCGGGGAGCAGCAGCTCATTTGCATTTAAAGAGACATACACGAAAACAGCCTGTTTCTGCTTCCACTCAAACTAGGCATTTTCAAAATGATATAATAAATTATCTGTATTTTGAGCTGAAACTTCACAGACACATTCTGGGGGCACCTAATACTTATGTCTTGTAAAAAGGGGAAATAATAGGTCTCCTTTAAATCTGTTTTTTTTTTTTGGTTGAATGACTGTTTGTTTTCTACAGGATCTTCTGAAACACACACCTTCCAGTCACCCAGATTACCCCCTCCTGCAGGACGCCCTCCGCATCTCACAGAACTTCCTGTCCAGCATTAACGAAGAGAGCACGCCTCGCCGCCAGTCCATGACAGTGAAGAAGGGAGAGGTGAGTGCAGAAACCCCTCCTTCCTTCCATCTTACCCCTCTCCCTCTCTCATAAGTCCTCCATCTTGTTTACGATGGAGAGTGTTTGTCAAAAACATATTTTTATAGGGCACAGAAATGTCAAAATTCCAGGTCGCACATAGTGCAGGTGCCCTGAAGCCATCCAGCCAATGAGCTCTCATCAGGATATACAGCCAGTCATTAACATCCATCTCAGAGCCGGCCCACCCTCTGCTCTCTGCACAGCCTATCCTTGGGCGACTCTGCCATCTCTCTATTTCACACTAGCATATACTCTCCATCTCCACAGAGGGTTTATGCTTTAAATAAAACATCCTCTATTTGTTACAGAACTCTTTGCTGCATTTGAGTTGTTTGTGCTCAGATTTAGTGGGATTTATTTTTAATCATCTCTTCAGTATCTGCTTACTAATGCTCTTGAGTCATGATGATGTCATTAGTTAAAGGCGGTAAGAAAGCGCATACCCTCGCTGACCCCGGCAGAGAAGATCACCCTTAAAGAGAATTATCTTGGAAAGATACATTTGGTTTTTGACACAGAGACTTTCTGTGCCGCCCCCTTCATTCCAGCAATGTGGCCTCAGGAGAGTGGCAGATGAATTGTTGCTGTGTGTGATTGATGGCGAGCAGCGCTTGCGTGTAATTTGCCTTAATGAGCCACCTCCCTCTGACTCGCAACTCATTGATTATTCATAAAAGGCCATCTTGTGTGGAGTAGGCTCCGCCTACTTCGAGTAAACAGTGAGGAGGAGTTTGCTACCGCTCTCTACACCCCTCCCGCCTTCCTCCCTCGGGTGCATGCAGACAGACCAACTGATCAAATATTGATAGTGTGTGCATGAAAGGAACTCATGGAAATCAATGTGTTGTTGTGGAGCTTATTGTCTTTCAGTCCAGTCTAAGAGAACACAAGCCTTAGTTTACTTTCCTTTTGTTTTTATAGTTTCTTGATGATTTAGTAACCATGATTTCTTTATTAGCTCAGGCCTGCATCACTATTACTATTGCTCATACTTCAGGGATTTAAAGAGACCATGATTATTAAACTTTGGCATGTAGCTCTGGCATCCGGCACTGTTTCGCTTGTAGCATTTAAAGCGTATCTGTTTTGTTTGCTTGTAGGTTTTTTGGTATAGCATTTTTTATTTATTTACACAAAATAGTATCGTTTTTTAGCCATTTAACACTTTCCTGCTGTAACATAAAAATAATTACTGGCTTATTGGTATCGGCTGTAATTTTTGTATCAGTGAACTTCACTTTATTGTTTCATTCATTTGTTTAATTTAGTTATTCTAGAGATGCATCTAGCTTGAGTGGAGAGGTACAGTATGGTGCCCTAAGCTTACTTCTTTGGTTGATGCCAATGAACAATAATCTCATTATTTAAGAGTAACTTCAGAACTGATATCAGTGGGCAGCTAGAAGCATTAGCATGATTGTTCAGGTCATGGTTGCGTTGATTAGCTATGGGCTTCTAGTGTTACCCGTGCTGGAAACTGGAGGTATGCGGGTGAGAGAGAGAAGAGATTCAGGGTGGCCCCAGAGGCCTGCACTAGCTGGGTCGAAGCCACTTAATTAAAATGCAAATGAACCTGCCGATTTCAGAAAGCAGCTTTCAGCATCTGTGATACACGCTCACACAGCGATGCATGATGGGCTTTGTATGTAGCTGCACACATATGACATTGCAGACCGTGTACGCACACACACTCATTCACAATGTAAATATGTATATGAAGTGTCAGCACTATGCACAAAAGACACATAAACGCACAGAAGCAATCCAAACATGCTAATGCCTGAATATACACATCAAATGTAAATGCATACACAACCTGATGACCTTGGGTTCGTCAAAGCCACCTGCTCTGTTCAAAAGACCATCACAAATGTATGCACATCAACATATACCACACACAGACTCATGTGATGAGCATTTTGCTGTACCTTTAGGACACAGAGGTAATTTAGGCACATAAAAATTTACTTTATTCTTTATGAACAATGTAATGTTGTCAGGGATATGCCCGTAATACTAATAAAAGTAATAATTTTAAGTAGCTTGTTATGTTAAGAAGGCTAAAAATGTGCAACTCAGAGGGGTGTCTGTCTTTACCACACAAACACAAACTGTATGAGCCGCTCCGTTTTTTATTCTGAATTGCTGTGTTTAATTTTCAGTGGTTTCAGTCTGTTTGTAGTGGGTGATTATGAGATATTGCTATTGTCATGTTTGTACTGGAGGCAAACTGTTGGAAAATGTCATCTGATGTGCTGAGACAGCTCATTTGAGCGTCTCGTCTTTTACAGAGGAAAAAAGCATATCATGTTCACTGTAGACTGGTAAGATACTGGTAAAGATGTGCAAACAGTGTACAGTACAAGTGTTTGCAGAAGAAATGTAAGTACCAAGCTTGTTTGTTTTTGGACGTGTGTGTGTGTGTGTGCGTATGTGTGTGTGTGTGTGTGTGTGTGTGTGTGTGTGTGTGT